GAGGAGGAGGAGGAGGAGGAGGAGGAGGAGGAGGAGGGCGTGAGGAAGGGAGGGAGGGAGGGAGGGAGGGAGGGAGCGAAGGAGGGAGGTTTTCGGAGTTGTTTGCTGGTGTTCTGGATGTTTCTGGGCCCTCGTGTGATTCCATCGGGTGCGCCTCGTCTGGAGCCTTCCAGGGAGCCCCAGATTTTCAGGAGCGGCCGCCTGAAGCCCGCGGTGCGGCCTGGAAGACGTTCGGAGCAGGTGCCCCACCCTGTCAAGAAACGTGCAGCTTCGCTGTCGGAGACCTGCATGCCCCTGGTGTACCAGAGATGTATCACCAATCCCAGGCCGATGTTCACCTCCCCTGGGCTAGTCCCCCGCTTCTGGCTCTGGAGGGTTCGGAGGTGGCCCGAGGTGTCCAGAGACCGCCTGGAGGCTTGTCTGGTGATGCGATGATTTCTAGGTGCTCGAGCACGACCAAAAACTCTGGCTCCTCCTCCCTTTCGTTCTCTCCCCTCTCGGCTCCCCCCGCTGCTGCGTCGGAAGTTTTGGGCCCCCTGGGTCCCAGCGTGTGGGCTGGGGGGTAAGGGGGGCGAGGGGCTGTGGCTGGCTGCCCTCTGTGGCTCGCCGCCCTCCGGCCTCAGGACCTGAGCGATGTCGTGCCGGATCCCTACTTGGACGCGGATCAGGCCGCCGGAGCGTCAGACACCGCTTGCCGCAGCCGCGAGCCACCCCGCTCCCCACCCCCCTCTTGGGGAGAGGAGGGGCCAGGAGGCCAGGAGGAGGGCCGCGGGCAGGAGGAGGAGGGGGAGGCGGAGAGGAGGAGGGGGACGAGGAGGTGGAGGAGGAAGGTGGGGAAGGAGGCCAGGAGGGGGACAGCGGGCATGACGAAGTTTACGTTGCAAGTCTAGCGAGGCGATGGTCTCTAGGCATTGGTGTACAATGGACGGAAAACACTCTGCATTAGCTACTAGGACGGGCTGCCACGAGGCCTGTCACGTTGTCCATGTGATGTGTGATCTATGTCTAACCGATGGTGTTTGTATGTGCGCACAGCGCGCATGTCCGAACATGCTGCAGTGACCGGATCTTGCGATGTGCGTGCACGGCACATGTAATATTGGATATTGGTGCATTGAGTGAGCGTGTTCTGAATTATGTACGTGCGTAGTGATACCCATTTGTTGCGAGATGAATTTGTTTGCATGCCGAAGGACAGGGATCGTGTACAGACCAATGGTGCTCGACTCGCGATCGATGCTTAGTATCTCGCGTTCGTATACGACGAGGTCGGATTCGTGCAATCTGAGTATTGTTCGGGTCGTGCTTTTTGGTGTTTGCCAAACACGTCGTCGCACGAGGTGGGAGGGTCCATAGGGGAGCTGTTACGCAAGGAATTCTCTCACATGTAAGGCCGAGCAGCTGCGGTACACGAAATTCATGATCGATGGCTTGCCTGGGGAGAAGCACGCCGTGATTATCCCAGACACGATCTCGCTGACCCATCAGCTCTTCTCGGACGTCTGCGACGCCATTCAGAAAGACATGCCCACAATGCTCATCAGCGGCGTGAGCTCGATGCGGCACCCCGCGGCCATGACCACACCAGAGATTCGGCACTCACCCGCATTCGCAGGGGTCCAGGGGCGCGCGACACAATTGTAAATTCTTGGTGAGATACGTGCTGCCCCTCCGAGCTAGGCTGTTCCCTCCAACTTATGGGGAAGCATGGGAAGAGTGATAATAGTTATAGCACTAGTAATCGTATTAATGCTAAGAAGAAGTTGCCCTTCCAGACGGTTTCCCTGGAAGGTTCTCAAACCATTAACCCGGGACCGTCATACGAAATCCTCATGTGTCGGCTGGAGTATGTGCCCCACTTTTTCGCGGGAAGGCTCCTTATTCTTGGCGAGCGTCGCAATATCATAATACTCCCTCCCAGAGTCGAAGTCAACAGGAAACTGATGGTCAGTGATTACCAGACCGACCGGGCCATACCACCTCGCCGCCCAAATGCTCTTTTGGCGCACGATGCTTGGTGCATCCGTGGGGAGTATCCTGACCAACCTGGGGTCGCGAGTCAGCCCTGTCCTGCCGATCTGGCGGTCATCCAGGCCCCGGAAAAATAGCGAACATTCATGCCACATTCATCTGTGAACGCCTCCCCCTCCCCCCAGTGTTCAAAGTTGGCGGTGGGTCTGACGAGTTGCACCTCGACCGCAGTCCCCCCCCCGCGCGTGCCAACCCCGAGTTTGGGGGGCAGGGGGGGTGTTCACTAAGTGTTTCCCTCCACCGTCCGGTGGAGGCGGAGGGGGCCGGAGGAGCGCCTCGACCGCATGCTCACTCGGATCACCCCGCTTCGCCCCCTGACGGTGCTCCGCCCTCGCCCTGCGGTGGGCCCCAGAGAGGGCCGACGGCGGGGCCTGGCCTCCTCCTCCTCCTCCTCCTCCCCTCCTCCTCCTCCGCCTCCTCCTCCTCCTCCTCCTCCTCCTCCTCCTCCCCCTCCTCCTCCCCCTCCTCCTCCTCCTCCTACTCCTCCTCCTCCTCCTCCTCCTCCTCCTTCTCCTCCTCCTCCTCCTCCTCCTCCTCCTCCTCCTCCTCCTCCTCCTCCTCCTCCTACTCCTCCTCCCCCTCCTCCTCCTCCTCCTGGCCCGCTCCGGAGAGCCCAGCCCTGCGCGCTCGGAGCTGCCCAGCGCCGACGAGGGCGAGCTTTGGACTCGGCGGCGAGGCCCGGTGGGGCACTGCGCGGGGGCGGGCCTCCTCGGGAGGCGGCGGGGCCTCTCGGAAGCCCTCCGGCCTCCGGAGGAGCCGGCTCTCTCTCTCTCTCCTCGGAGGAGGCTCGGAGGACCTCTCCTCCGAAGGCCGGAGGGGGCCCTCCGAGCCTCCTGAGGAGGCCCGCCACCTCTCGCTTGCCCCCCAGGCCCACCGCCGATGAGGGCGCGGTGCGGACGGGGGTGTGAGCAAGCAGGGGGCGGGGTGGGAAGGGGAGTGGGGTCAGGAGGGGGAAGGAGGAGGTCCCAGCCGGCCTGGAGGTGCGCCTGCTCCCCCTTCGAGTCAGCCGGCTCTCTTGACAGGGCGGCAGCTCACCTCGAGCCCTCCACCGAAAAGAGAGCCCCGTCCCCTCCTCCCCACCGCTCCGCTCCCCTGCCCACCCACTTCTCCTCACCCTCCTCTTCCTCCCTCCTCCTGCATCCTCTTCCCATCCCTCCCTCCTCCTCCTCCCTGCTCCCTCCTCCTTGCACCCCAATCCCTCGTCCTTGCATGTCGCCTGCTATTCCTCATCCCAGAACCCCCAACAGTCACACGGATAGAGAGGACCTTTTCTTCGAACTTGAGTTTTGGCTTTGGAGCCGCGCATATGTGTCTGAAAACCTTTCAGCAGCCACACGGATGGGGCAGGGCGGCCTTCTTCAAAATGGGGCTCTCGCATCAGCGCCGCGCGCATTCGTCTTAAGCGCTTGCAGCGGAGGCCAGGTCCTTGTCAGGATTGTTCTCTTGCCTCAGCGTCGCGCACGTTCGTTGTAAAAGCTTGCAGCAGTTACGCGGACGGAGGCAGGCAGGTTGTTTCAACGTGCGGGCCTCGCCGGAGTTCTCTTCGTGATAGTGTGCAGCCGCTGCACGGATGGAGGGCGGCTCCTCTTCAAGATGGGGCTCCCGTTGGGAAGCCTGCAGCACTCAGCGGCCAGAGGCTTGAACATATCATGCGTAGCATTGTGGAGGACGATCGATGGAGAGGAAGCATGTTGCCAAATCATTTCCAGATGTCTAAAACATGTGAAACATGTTTCAAATATGAAAAAACACATGTGTAAGACAATTTTAGAACATTTTTCCGGCATTTCGAACACACTTCAAGTGCAATGATCGGACTGTTAGGGTGTCCACTGTCGTGGCATCCACAACCGTAGCAGCTGTATCCTGGAGGGCGGCTCCTTCTCTGTACGGGGCTCTCGCGTGAGGCTTCCTCACATGCAGTGGCCAGAAGTGTGAGCTCGTGCCGCAGTGGCACGGAAGAGGGCGACTATTTTTCAAGGCTGGGGCTCTCGTTGGACAAACTCATTTGATTATGTGGCCCAACCTTGTCGCATTCCGTATTACTCGCCAGAAGGATGCAAGGACGTAAAGGTATTCTTTTTCAAATTGGGTCTTTCGTCTGAATGGCAGGCCTGCAGGGTGCTCGTATTTCAAGGGGTGCTTCTTGTAGTGATGAGGAAAGCTTGGAGGGACTCGTCTGAGGGAACTTGGGACGGGAGGGTGCTCCTCCTCCTCCTCCTCCTCCTCCTCCTCCTCCTCCTCCTCCTCCTCGCAAGCGCCCTCGTCTCACTACAACCCTCCCTCCTCTGCCCTCCTCCTTCCTTGTCCCACTCTGGCTTGCCCTGCTCGGTCAGCCCTCCCCCCTTCCCCCCATTTCCTCCACCGGCCTCACAGGCTTCCTCGGGGTTGCGACATCCATGAGCCCCTGGACCCTCAGCCCTGTCCCCTGCGGTTTGTCGTCGCAGATTGTTTCGATGGCCCAGGGGGCCCCCCGAGGAAGGCCCCTGGAAGCCGGAAAGCGCACGCCACAGTTTTCCGCGACTTCAGAGGTCTGCGTCTTGACCTCAAGTAGGGGGCCGAATGCGAACCCTACCCCTACCCCCCACGACTTCTGAGGGGGAGGGGGGGGGGGTTCACGGCGCTCGGGAGCTCCCGAACGAAGTGAACCCCACCCTCACCCTCAGAAATCGTGGAAGGTAGGGGTAGGGTTCGCATGTGGCCACCCATCAAGATCGACCCCTGGACTGATCCTGGTGTGCGTTCCGAGCGGGATACACCAGAATCTCCGGGCGAATCCAGCCGTGGCGACGACGGCGCCCCAGGATGCCCAGTGCTTCGGGAGGGAACGGGCGAGCTCGAAAATCGACGATGGTGCCAGCGTCGAAGTCAAATATGGTTTCAAGAGAAGGAGAAGGAGGGTGAGCAAGGGGGGGCAAAAAGAGGAGGAGGAGGAGGACGATGAGGAGGCGGAGTAGGAGGAGGAGGAAGAGGAGGAGGAGGTGGAGGAGGAGAAGGGGGAACCGTTTTCCTCCCTTCCTTGAAGGACGGAAGACATCCTAATCCTCTTTCCTCCTCCTCCTCCTCCTCCTCCTCCTCCTCCTCCGCGCGAGGTCGGGCGCTTTGGGTCTTCGTCGCCTCCCCCTCGGCCTCGTCTTCCTCCTCTTCTCCCTCCTTCCCTCGTGGCCCTCTGCGCCAGAAGAAGCAAGAAGCACCTGCTTCGGCGCCCGCGGTGGGGGAGAACAGCAAAACAGATCTCCTCAGCCTGAGGTCGTGGCCGGCGCGGAAGGCTCCCTGGGAGGCCCCGCCGCCTCGGGCGGCTCTGTCGCGGACCTCCTCCGGAGGGCGGCGGGCGGCCTGGGCCTGCAGGACGCCGGCGAGCCCGTCCAGGATCGCGCCGGCTGACGTGCTGTCCGCGGGCGCGTCCTCGCCGATGGTCGGAGTAGGAAGATAAGCCGATACATGTATGTAATATATATATACATATATATATATATATATATATATATTACATACATATATTATATTATATCATATCATATTATATTATATTATATTATATTACAGTATATTATAGTATATTATATTATATTATATTATAGTATAGTATATTATAGTATATTATCTTATATTATTATATTATATAATATTATATATTATATTATATTCTACTATATTGTATTATATTATACTATATTATATCATATGGTAGTATATTATATCATATTATTTTATGTTGCGTTATATTATATTATATTATATTATGTTATATTATATCATATTATATTATATCATATTTTATTACAATATATTATATTGTAGTATAGTATACTATAGTATAATATGACATATATAGTATAGTACTTTATATTATAGTATATGATATTGTATTATATTATATTATATTATATCATATTATATCATATAATATTATATTATATCATATCATAGTATAGTAGATTATATTATATTATACTATAATATATTATATCATACTATAATATATTAGATTATATTTCATTTTATTATATTACATATATATATATATATTATATCATATTAAATTATATTGTATTATATTATATTGTATTATAGTATATCATGTTATATTATATTTTATTATATTATATTGTATTGTATTATATTATATTATAGTACATTATATCATATTATATTATACCATATCATATTATATCATATTATATTATATTTTATTATATTATATTATGTTATGCTATGTTATGTTATATTATATTATGTTATATTATAGCATATTATATTATATTATGTACATGTATATATATATATATTGTACACTATATATCTGTATGTATATATACATCTATATGTGTACGTATATATATATATATACATGTATATGTATATACGCATATATATATATATACATATATATATATATATATATATATATATATAAGTGCCCTGGCCTCGTTCCCGCTTTTTTTGGACCCCCTGGGAGGCCTTCGTCGCCACGGCTGGATCCGCCCCGAAACTTTCTGGTCAGAGCGCACACCGGGAGAGGTCCAGGGACCAGCGGTATCGGTACCCTCTGACTTCCCGTGCACCGATCTGAAGGCCCATTCTGGGCCCAGGCGCTCCCTCTCTCTCTCTCTCCCCTCTGATTTCCCACGCACCGATCTAAAGGCCCATTCTGGGCCCAGGCTCTCCCCCTCTCTCTCTCTCCTCCTCCTGCTCCGCCTGCTGCTGCTCCCTCTCCTGCCCCACCGCCCCGGGCCTGCACCTCCTCCTCGTGATCCTGCCCCGAGATCGGGGCAAAGTGCTGCAGGCGGAGGCAGTTGACTCGCAGGATCACAAAGCCTTCCTCCGCCTTCACCTGCCATGTTTCTCTGACGGGCCAGAATGGTCCGATGGAGGTGCACGCCTTGCTTTTTGCTTGTACGTTACACTTGTGACCAACGGTGTGCGATCCTTTTCAGACATCCCAGAGATGAGTTACATATAGCTTTGGGGTCCGTCCGCCCGAGCAATAATACGTATGCAGTGTTGTTCCGATGCGCATGAGTTGTAGGGATTGCGGAGGTTGTTGCCGTTGCCAGCATGTTTTGCTCGGCCAGGTCGATCCACCCTGGATCGAGGAAAACGTTTCGACCGTATTTGTCGCGGGCTTTACCACAGGGTTTCATCAAAGCAGATACAGGCCCTGGACGCAGCCAGGCGTGATGACAGTTTGATCGCTCCGTATCCAGGCTGTTTTCATGGACATTGTCACCTGATTATACTCATGCTCTTCGTCCTCCTCCTCCTCCTCCTTCACCCCCGCCCCCGCCCAAGCGACGACGGCGGCGGCGACGACGACGCCGACGCCGACGCCGACGCAGACGGCGACGGCGACGACGATAACGACGACGTCGCCGCACTGGGGTTCCGCCCTGCAGGAGCACGGCGCCTGGGACCCAAACCGCCACAGCGAGCAGGCGCTGGAGGACCTCGCGAGCCCTAGTCGTCGTCGTCTTCGTCGTCGTCGTCGTCGTTGTCGTCGTCGTCGTCTTTGTCGTCGTCGTCGTCTCGTCGTCGTCGTCGTCTTCGTCGTCGTCGTCTGTCGTCAGTCGTATGTTGTCTATCGTCTGTGGTCTGTCGTCTGTCGTCTGTCGTCTGTCGCCTGTCGCCTGTCGCCTGTCGTCGTCGCCGTCGCCGTCGTGGCCTGTCATCGCCCAGCGTCGTCCGTCTTCGCCCGTCGTTGTTATCGTCTGCCATCATCGACGACGTCACCGTCGCTGTCGTCCTCCTCCTGCTCCCAAGCCATCCCTGCTCTTGTGCCTCCCTCCCGCTCGCGTTCCCGCGTGCGGCAGGACTACGCGAACCGCATCGTGGAGAGGAGGACCGCTGGCACCCGGGGGCCAGAGCAAAAACACACGGTCATAAACTTTGGACCTCCCCGGACGGTTTCTCTGCCAGCCCCGGTCCTGTCTCCCCGTGACACCCCCCTTGGGCGGCGCCTTGGACCCTTCCCCTGGCGCCGAAAGCGCATAAGGGACGGACATGTGTGGGTGGGGTGGGCCCAGCGCCAGCGGAGAAATTGTCCGCGGTTATGTCTATGTGTCTTTTCGGCCTCCCAGGACCACAGGCATGATCGCCGGCATCGCCAATGCCGCGCAGCAGACAAACGCCTGGATATTCACGGGCCCTTCGATCTCGAATTTCGAGGTGTTCCTCCAGCAGGCGAAGGCCCACAGGCAAACCGATGTGTTCTGCTGCGTGGCGGCTCACGCGCAGGACCCAGCTTACATGGACGCGTCCCAGTTGGGACAAGAGTTGATGAAGTATATTTTCGAGTGCTCCACCGAACTTACAGGCCAGGCTGTTGACGAGTTCGAGCCTGTTGTGCTCACTGGGGACCTGTGGAACCCGTCGAAGAACACAGCCAACCGCGAGTTCCACGAGCACGGTTTCAACTATTGGTCATTCGAGGATGAGCACAGCGCCGAGTCTCGGGGACACCCGGTCTTCACATGGCCTTGGCCTTGGGGGGATCTGTTTTTCTTTTTTTACCGCCCTGACCAGAGCGGTCGGTCTCCCTTCAGTGTTGACTGGAGCTACCGGACGCCACGCATGTGGGACATGACTTCCATCCCAATGGAGTTGGAGACTCTGGCGCCATTGGGGCACGTGTTCTTGGACGGGCAGACCCGTGCGAAGAAGAGGGCGATGAAGTTGATGAAGGCCGGGCAGGCCATTGTTTTCATGGACAACACGCCAAACGTGACGAAGCAGATGAGCGTCCTTATGCGCGTCGTTGGCAAGGTTCTCAACAGTGACGTGAGCGGCTTGGGGCCGTTCCTCTCGGACAAAAACTGCGGCACACAGGGGCCTACGTTACACTTGGCAACCCAATCCAACCCTCCGCCCATGTCCCTCCATTTCCATGCTCGCCACCCGCGAGGGGAAGGGAGAATCGGAGGGGGGGGGATTGGACTCACTGGCTGTAACGAGGGTATCTTAGGCACGCTTTCTTCTCAACCTACAATCTCCCAGCTGCTACAGGCACTGTCGCCTGGCAAGATCCTCGAGCACGTTGAGAAGCAGTTTGACAGCTCGGCCATGGAGCCCGGGGCCCAGCTGAGTCTGAGCGATATCATGGCAATCTTGGACCTTGTAAAGCAAAAGCCGCGGCATTTCAAGCAGAAAGTCTGCGTGCTGGATGCAATTCACGAGTTTCCAAAAGACGTCATGCCCGCTCTCTCCTCGTTTCTATGCAGCACTGGCCCTGAAAACGTAGATGGCAAAATAAGCCCTGTTCAGCGCAGTTTGGCTTTGAAAGGGTGGGCGAAGCACTGTTCACTAGTGCGCAATGCCGCGCAGCTCTGGCGCGTCGCTACAGCGCTGGAGGTCCTCCTCTCGCTTCTCATAGTAGCTGCGACGGTTGCTTCGGTGGTCATGGTCTACCTCCGCCTCAGGTACGATCAGATTCATGAGGACGTTCTGCGGGGCACGCTGACGGACGACCAGATTCGTGAGATGATCGACCAATTCCCATACAAGCGCATGTCCAGCGTTTTTTATTTCTGGATGCTTGTGTTCCCGATCAGCGTAGGGGTACTCATCACTCTGCAGAGCCACTTTCAGTTTGCGAAGAAGTGGGCCAGCGTCCACTTGGCAGCCCACCAGGTCGCCTCCGAGATCCACCTGTTCCTCGGAAGCGCTGGGGAGCGCTACCGCGATGGCGGGACGGCCGCGTGCGAAAGGTTCCTGAAGCAGCTGCAGGACACCACCACCAGGCTCGCCATGGCAGGGATCCGCGAGGAGGACTTCGCCGGGAGCGACGACGGCTCTTCCGACAGCTTCGGCTCCGACCCGAGCACGCTGTCCGAGCACGTCAGGCATGAGACCCCTCTGTGGCCGCCTGTCCACTGCCCTCCCCCCGCCTCCCCGCTCCCTCCTCCGTGCAGCACGAGTGGCGAGGGCTGAAGCGCACCCGGGCTCCGGTCAGGGTGTTTTTTGATCAGCTGGCCCCAGAGCTTTCGACCCTCTTCGCAGCGTCATTGCGGATCCACTCTTGATAGCGTGGGCCCGGAGCCAGTGCCCGGAGGCCGAAATCGGGGAGAACCCGCTGGAGGTCCTTGGGAAGGGGGGGGAGAGGGAAGCTGACCTGAGCACTCAAGACTCCGCAGGCCCTGTGCGAGCCCGGGCATGGGTGGATACTGGACCTCGGCCAGGGGCCAGAAGGCCCCTGGGTCCCCCGTCGATGTCCAGGCCCGAAGTGGAGTGGGCTAACTGCGGAGGCTCGGCAATCCTCAAGCGAGGATCTGGTGACCGCCAGTTGTAGTTACACCAGCGCCAATCCTGAGTCAGGGAGGAGGAGGAGGAGGAGGAGGAGGAGAAGGAGGAGGAGGAGGAGGAGGAGGAGTTCTGGCCAAGCCGCAAGGGCACGCACCGAGCCTGGGCCCAGGAGGGGCCTGGCCAGGATCGATGCCAGTGTATTGCTGGCAACCTCCTAGAGGGGTCCGAGGAGGATGACGAGGAGCAGGTGGAGGAGGAGGAGGAGGAGGAGGAGGACCAGTGCAAACCCAAGAGTCACCAACGATGTTGCAGTAAACCCTCCCTCCAAGCTCCCTCTTCATATGCCCCTACAACGGTGTATTTCCACTGATGGGACTGCCTCGTTTGGAAGACACCCGGTTTGAAGACCCTGAAGCATGCCAAAACATTGCTCTCGGGATTCCAACGCCACGGATCAACCTGATTGTTGCGTCTTGACGATCCTGAATCTTGCCAGAACGCCATTCCCATAACTTCAGCACAGAGAAGCAACGTAACTGTTGCACCCGCATAATTGTGAACCTTTCCAAAACACCATTTCTGGTACGTTTATGACGGGATCCCGTGTAAAGCTTGAACATTGTGTAAACCAATGTGCGCGGCGCTAAAGCGAGAGTCACATGTTGAAAAGGAGCCGCCCTCAATCCGCGAAGCTCTTGCAAGTCGTTGAGAAAGAATGTGCGCCGCGCTATGGCGAGAGCCACATTTTGAAAAGGAACCGCCCTCAATCCGTGAAACCCTTGCAATCTTTTAGAACGAATGTGCGCCGCGCTATGGCGAGAGCCCCATATTGAAAACCACCCGCCCTCAATCCGTGAAACTCTTGCTAATGTTTAAAACGCATGTGCGCCGCGCTAAGGCGAGAGCCACATTAGAAAAACGACCCGCCCTCCATCTATGAAGCTGGTGCCAATTTCTAAGCTTCAGAGTCACAAATGGTGAGGAAGTCTCAGGCGACATGCCCGGCCCGCCGTACAAATTTGCCTCGGGGTGCGACGGGGAGAAGTTATTTATAAGGAGAAGGAGAAGGAATGGAGGAGGAGGAGGGAGGAGGAGGAAGAGGAGGGAGGACGAGGAGGAGGAGGAAAGGGCTTGCTTACTAGTGACCGTTTGCGAAAGTTTCGCGACACAAGAAACACAGTGATATCTTCATTGCTGAGCTCCACCATGCAGAAGCGCCATGAGTACGCCTGCCGAGACAGGTACCACCCCCTTGTTCGGCTCAAAGGGCCCCTTGCAATGTTCTGCTGAGCGCCACGTGTGGGTGGGCGCAACTGCGGAGGGGTCTCTGGCTCCCTCATATCAGCATAAGAGCCAAACGCTGCGGAGACCGTAAAATGCCCACCGGAGTACACAGGTCCACGCAATCATATTCCGGTTCGCTTAACCGATGTCGTTTTTCCCAACCATATTGTGGCTTTGGGTCTTCGTTTTGAAGAGAGCGCCCCGTGTCAACTCACTCCCGCTGTCCCCTCCCTCCTCTTCCCTCCTCCATCGTTATCGTCATCACCCGTCTCAGCACCCCCTCACACGCTTCGTGGCCCCATAAGGAGCCCCACCGAAGACCCAAGTGTCAGTGTTCGCATGCGCCCACCGCACCCATTTTGGCATACCCCTGCCACGTTTCGTGGCCTCATAGGGGGCCCCACCGAAGGCCCAAGTGTCAGCGTTCGCATGCGCCCACCGCATCCATTTTGGCACACCCCTCACACGTTTCGTGGCCTCATAGAGAGCCCCACCGAAGGCCCAAATGCCAGCGTTCGCATGCGCCCACCGCACCTATTTTTCGGCATACCCCTCCCGCGCTTTGTGGCCCCTTAGTGAGTCCCACCGAAGGCACAAATGCCAGCGTTCGCATGCGCCCACCGCGCTCATTTTGGCACACCCCTCACACGCTTCGTGGCTCCATAGGGAGCCCTACCGAAGGCCCAAATGCCAGCGTTCGCATGGGCCCACCGCGCCCATTTTGGCACACCCCTCACACGTTTCGTGGCCTCATAGAGAGCCCTACCGAAGGCCCAAATGCCAGCGTTCGCATGGGCCCACCGCGCCCATTTTGGCATACCCCTGACACGTGTCGTGGCCCCATCGGGAGCCCCACCGAAGGCCCAAGTGCCAGCGTTCGCACGCGCCCACTGCACCCATTTTGGCATCTACCTTGCGAATTTACAATCGACGTTTACA